CATGCGCCCATATGCGCCCATTCCCATGTGCCACCTCACGTCTTGTCTAAGTGGAATGGCTTGCCACATGCACTGACACCATGTCTAGGTATGTTGGGTGGAACACGAGAACATCATCAGATCTCGCAGTGTTTCGCAAAGCAAGTCGGTCGTCTATGCTCATTACATTATGCATGCGCGCATATCTTCTGCGCTTGTACTAGCCACGGTGATTGATGCTCACCAGTTCTCCTGTCTTGCGACTAATCATCTAATTCTTGCATTGCGCTTCAAGCTCTCTTGAGCCTTGACAAGCCCCTCTGTTGTCATCACTGGTCCTGCCGTAACCACTACTCTTCTGGCGGATAGCCTCTTCATCCACCTGTCCTCACATCGCTTCTCTTCGTAATGCCCCTTCCGTTGGAAGCTAATAGCCGACGATGAGTGTTAGTTGACTTCATCTGACCAAGACATTCGAATGAGCGGACCAATGCTCTGAGTTCGAACGAAATTGCAGTAGCCGGATCATCGGGTCTTCGCTGCAGGTGCATGCTTTCGGGCGGCTCTTCATAATCGGAATCTTTTGGCAAGTACCACGTCGCGAGTCCAGCGTGATATAGCAGAGGCAGTGTGCCGAGGCGAAGACTGGGTTTGGGGGCCATGATGGCTTGGGCGTTCGTAGGAGGATGGGGTTGGTGGCTTGAGGCGTCTGGGCCACGCCAACTAAGAAAAAAAACTGAACAGGCCTGCGGCCTACATCAACTTAAAACCCTACAAGATAGGTGACTTGGCGTTCATGTAGGCTCTAGACCTGTTCAGCTTTTTCTTGTATGAGGTGGGGCGAAGGATCCATGGATCACGTTCCGGGAGTGTGACCGTGACGTCAGATGCGCGTCCTCCCGCAGCGGCACGACTGTGCCACATGGACGTCGACGACAAGTGCGCGCATTTCCGAAGTGACACTGTCGTCCCAAATCGTACAATGTAGCACCTCACGTTTCCCGAGAAGCCGCCATGCTACGCGCCTGTTTCGTGCATCAACGTCGCTACCCCCAACATGCATCGCTGTGGCTAGCCATCTCGACTCTGCGCCCCAACAACGCACTCATAACCGATCAAGGTTGTATTCTTTCGTAACTTTGATTTCGTTCAGCCCCAATGAGCCCAGTCTCTCCGAAGGAGCCGATTCATTGCTCAGCGTGACGAAGGCAGCCGCCTGCGGTTTGATGCCTGGCATCCATTGCGAAGGAGGTGCGTTGAGATTCGATGTCGACGAGCCGTTGCTTTGTGTCCGGAACTTCATCCGGCGAAGACCGATACCGCCATCCTCAGTCGGGAGCGGAGGAGTTCGGCGCCACGAAGGAAGCGAACGGACGTTGGGTACGCAACAGCAGACAATACCGACAGCGACCTCGATTGGGGAAAAGCAGATACGCCACCACGACGCACCGATCGGGTCATCATTGACGTTGCCGAAGACGTCGATCGCGCAGTCGATACGGAGGACTGCTAGGATGGTACAACTGTGTGGTGTCAGCAAGAGCTATTCGGAGCGAGTGCTTAGCTTCACGTACAAGCATCCAAGGAGGAACAAGACCATCACCCATGCCTTCTTCTTGCCTGAGAGATCTGCTGCTGCTATGGCAGGTATCGGGGCGAAGAGGATGACACTGTTGAAGAAGACGTGCAGCGATCCGATGATGATGCATGACTTCTTGCTCTGCAGCTTGCATTCCCCCGGTGGATGGCACATGCTGATCCAACCCGCGAGCGACCAGATGTACCAGATCGCGATGAGCGCCATAGACACATAGCAAGCGATGCGAGCAAAAACTCTCTTCTCGTACAGGCGGAGGTAGGATTTCGCAAACGCCACCTGCACCGTTGCAACCGATGTGGCCCAACAGATATCCAGTGCGAATTGTATCTTGAACACCTGTTAGCCAACTCTCGAGAAGCCCCCAGCTAAACATACCCGCAGCCAGAAACGCTCCACAACGTCAAAGTTCTTCGTCGGGTCCGCCTGAATCTCATAGCTCGTAAGCCCTTCTCCGCCGAGGAACACCAGCACGTAAACTAGCGTAACTACGACAAAGCTCATAGCCTGCGGTTGTTAGCATGGTACCGCCGTCAGCATTCCATCGTCTTACCAGAGCAGCCAGCATCAGCGCATCTTCGTTGATCGTGTTGACCCGTCTGACACTCCTCGTGTACCATCTCGCCGCCACCGCCGCCGCAGCCACCGCAAGGCATAGTGTGGGCGCAATCAACAACGCAAGCTGCTTGCCATTGACAATGTCGAAACGATCCGAATGCTTCCCCGCCATGATCAATACTGTCCAGCTCTTCTTCACTTCACCGCATACCGAGCGCACATCAAAGCCAAAGTCGTCGAAAGAGAGGGGCGTAACTGGAACCAGGATTAAAAAGCCCCGAGCGGAGCGAGTGAACGTAGATAAAGCCAAAGAGGCGATCCTCCCCATTGCCTGGTCCAGAGCACAGAGCTGTCATGCACTATGCTCGTTGAGTCCGCCGTCTTCAACGCCTATCTCGCGTCACCCAGGGTGCCTCAGCCGTGCGGCCCATGCGACAAGTGTAGTGTTGGCCTTTCGGGAAGCAAGACCTAGTCAGGGAGCGCGGCGGGGCTCATGCTGTGCGCCGCTGATTTGTCGCACATCTGACGGTCCGACGCGGAACACGGCTAACCTGCATGCATCCCTGCCAACCATATACCTGTGACCCAATGAAAGCTACCACACCAGCAGGCCCTCCGTTCATGGGGGCTTGCGCTTCCGGGGCACTGATGCGGCTAGCATGAGCTATTGCAGACAAAAAGCAATATAGCAAGCTGGCAATCCTTTGCCGCATTCTGGTAGGTTTCGTGATGATAGTTTCACTTCCCTCGAGGCGATCGGTTAGCAAAAGAAAAGTAACTCAACGCTATGGGCGATCCGCGCATATGTCTGCATCACGACGTGCGGGGTTGCCGAAGCTGAACACCCCCGAGGCGACGGTTGGCTTCCCCTATCGATCACGCAGCCCCCATGCTCATCACCGCGAACTGAAACAAGCCCGCCGCGTCGGCCGTTCTTCGTCGCGTGGTCTGCCAGGTCATGGTTCCGGCACAAGCGAGGTGGCGCCCTTCTATCGTGACCTAGAACACAAACTCCACCTACCAACAAGCCTAACAAGATTGTAACTTTGCTTCTCGAGATTCCCGGCACACGTTGAGACAGCATTCATGCCTGCTATATACTCTATCTTTCTTTCTCAACAGTCGTGCCGTCTCGCTCAACACTACACATATTAAAGGACGCCGCCCTCTCTTTTTTCCTTTCCACAGCGGCCCGATCGGTCCTCCGAAATAAATCTCCGACATGACACCGCAAATGCACACGCGTGCAACGGGAGAGTTACCGCAAAGATGTATTCTAGAATTAGCTAAGAGACAAACCCGCATCTGGGGTATATCTCGCTCCGATTATACGATCCTGCAGCTCTTTCGGCCTAAAATCCTAGAGGTGACGTCGCAGGTTGTATATTGGATGAAGTCATCGGGCTAAGGTTCGGGCAGTAATGCGGTCGTCTGCGTGTCATATGCAGGGCAATAGGAGGGAGGGAGGTGGTGTCACGTGGGGTAGGCTTATCTGGTGCTGTCACATGTGATTGGGGACGGCAGAGAACGGGTGAGTGAGGGAGAGACAATGCATTCGGAACTACAGAAACCATACGGTACGACCATGCGCGGAGGCATTCGCAACCGTGAAAACCGATAGACGCCAACGCTAAACCTATCCCAGGAGGTATTCAGTGACCTCTGACCTAGCCTAGGCAAACTTCATAATGATGCGCGTCGACCTTCAAGACCCTAAAACCCAAAAAAAAAACGCAACGCCAAAACCACCCCAGGAGGTCGTCGCTTTCTTCTGCATCGGTGCAGTGAAATGCTAGTACTTAGAAAGGAGGTTCTATCCACCCCCAATACTCCCTGCTCGCCTCCTCCTCCCTCTCTACCCTCTCCCTCTCCATCTCTTCCTGTGCCCATATTGGGAACAGTACTGTCCTACACATAGGACAAGTGTTGCACCTCTCAAACCAAGTCATGATGCAGTTGGTGCCGAAAATGTGGCCGCAGGCGTTTAGCTTTGACGCGGCTTGCTCTTCATTGGTGTGGTGGCTGTGAAGAGGCTTTGTGGATTTGAGCCAACTTGACTTGAAGATAATTGTGTTGGCTGGGTGTTGTAAGGCCAGTTCAAGGACTTCTTTGTCGGCGGCGGTGAGCTTGGTGGCCGAGGGGTTCTCGCAGGCCAAGTCTTTGGTGCAGATGCTGCACGTGTCTGTTTCACCGGCGGGCTGGAGGTAGGGAGACAGACCCGCAGCGATGAAGTCGGCCTTGCAGGCGTAGACAGGTGTGGTTGAAGACATCTTTGTTGTGGTGTGGTGAGGTTGTGTTGGTAGATGTGGTAGTAGTGTTGGTAGTAGTGTTTGAAGATAGTTGGGATGGAATGGTAAAACTTTCTTCGGATTTTGGACTTTGAATGTGATGGATGATGAAGAAAGGATAATGGAGAGAAGAGAGGGACAGAGCACTATTTATTGAGTTGGAAGCGTCTCTGTGACTCACATTGCACGTTGGTAATGAGTTAATTATTGAGTTGGAAGGCTATCTGTGACTCACGCTGCCCGTGGGTAATGAGTGGGTTTGCTGACCTTGGAGACCTCAGGAGTGGTGGTTACGTACTATCAGGAGCGCACGATCGCGCATTGTTCGCCGGAGCGCCATGCCGAACCTTAGATATTCAGATAGCTGTGACTCAAGTCCATTGAAGGGCCTATGAAAAAAAGTCGTACTCATCACATACAAGGGAAGCCTAGAAGTCTCTACTGCGCTGAGATTTCGCGTACTTTCGATTCGATACCAATGTGGGCTGCGCAAGTTCTGTTCGCTTTCTTCCATAGACGAGGTGCGGGTAAAAGTTCCGCATCAACGATGAACCAGATCTATTAGAATTACACCCACACTATAGCTCCTCAAACTTCTTGTCCCGTGCTGTGCTCAAGGCAGCAGTAGCACCAAATGCGATTCGACCCACATCATCTGTGGGTTTCTCGTCCCCGACGAACCCAGGGCACGCAGAAACAGTCTGCTTCCACTGCTTGTCCCCTTCGGCAGCGCTCAGAATATCAGCATGTGCCGTACCAGCCTTGACCACGAATTCTGCACCCAACCAAGGCATGAATGGCCTCATCCAAAAGGCGTACAGGGCAAGCACTAGTAATCCGAGAAGGTGAAGGCCGAGGAAAACGGACCCGGTGATGACCCCCCAAAGCGCGATATATGTCTTCTTGGTTGGAACGCCCGTATCGACATATACATTCCGCGATTGGTCGAATCCTCCCCATCTGTGGAATTGGCTCGGGTTCAGCCACTCCTTGTTGGCGAGGAAAGCGGCCACAGTGAACGCCCTACTTGCAGAACGTTCCGAATCAAAGAATGCAGCTAGTTGTCTCACGCGGCCAAGGACGTCGACTTCGGACTGGTAGTCGTAGTCGCGGAGGCACGGGCCCCCTATGGCAAAGTTGAGAGGCATATTCCCGAGGCAGTTGTTGCCGAAATTTCTGAACCATACTTCATCATCGACCTCAGGCCGATCTACAAGGAAGGCGGATGGATTTGAAACTCTTCTCTCGATGAAAGAGCCTTCGCCGAATAGTGCCAGTCCAATAGCAGTCAGCGGACCTATGTGATTTCCAATGGGTTGTCTCACATTTCCTGCGTATGTTTCGTTGGTTGCTCGTTTCTCATCTCGACTGGATCCGCTGGTTGAAGAGCCTCTAGCGCTGTCCAAGGATAGCTCATGGAGTAACGGCCCGGCGCGATTGCCGTTCTTGGTATTAGGAAGTTCGAAGTAGCCTAACGTCGAACGGGCGGTAATTTTCCACGTAACAGGAGTGCGTAACGTTGAAGGCACCGAAATTGCGAGGAAAAGATCCTCGGTAATGTCCTGCCGGTTGTACGTAGCTTGCCAAGGCGTGCCAGAGATATTGGCGGGTATGCAAGCTATTATATCGAACTCCCGGTATCCCGTCTCTCCTCCACGGTATTGTGCGAAAAATACATCTTCTCTGTCGCGAACGCATTCGGTTGGCCACTCAGCGTCTGTCATGTTCCGGTATTCAATTGTGGTATTGAGGCGCGGTGCGTACTGAGGGTCAACATAGACACCGGTGCTGAAGTCCAAGGGAACGGGTGAGAACCAGGCATCTAAGCTCATCTCATCAAGTTGATAAAGACTCCTCGAGAAGCGGTTACAATTGGTGGCCACACTGAATGTATCGTAACACATGTCATTATCCAGTCCATCCTTCTGTTCATCGATCCAGAGGTAAGGCTCATGTTCTCTTTCCGCGCGCGATTCTAGAATGCTACGGAGTCGAACAACTGCTGTGTTTATGTCATTGTCGGTGCTGCTGATTAGAGCAGGTATATCAGCGACCCTAATCAGACCGGACTGTGTGCTGCGAGTTGGTATTCGTGTCGGAGTAACCTGGATAAACGTTGTCTGCAGAATCGGGAAGACAGCACCTGTATTCGAGTCAACACCGGCTTCCTGCCAAGATCTGGGCATGACTCACCCACTAAGGTCAATGCAAAGGCGAAGTACAATGGAAGACTTCCAACTTTAGACCACCTAGCCCACATTCTTGGGCTGATCCAGCCTTGATCTGCAAGCGCCATAGTCTGACGCAGATTCAACTTCGTTCTCGAGCTGCCAGCCTGGATATAGGCAGCGAAGGCTATAGAGCATATCGCTGAAGTGATGGGAATGGTGAGTAGGGCGACTACCGATTGCAGGATCTGTGCAGCCCTAAGGATCCTCTCGTGTTTAGCCAAGAGACGAGCTACATCTTTAAAGTAGTCTTGATTATCCGTATAGCTTAACTTGCTTCCAATCGGCCGGCTGCTCGCGACACAAAGAACGATCCAGGTAAATAGGGCGAGTGTAGCGTAAAAGATGAAGACCATCAGCGGCCAGAACGAAGTGTGGAGGGTCCTGACGATGGGCTCGCGAACGGTCATGGAAGACGCTCTCGACAGCCTCGACGTGTACATGGGCTCGTGAGTAGTTTCCGGGACCTTTGGTGCACTCGCATTTGCTTGTCTGGTCTCCTCGCTGACGCTGTGCATCTCATGCGACTCCCGTTGCTCCATGTTTGGTGTGATCGATCCGCCGGTAGGGAAGATGGGGAGTCAAGATTCCCGCTGTAAGGGATGTAGCGTAGATTTAATAAAGCATGCGGATGTTATCGTCTGACAGCGCGTAACTTGACTGCGCCGTCTTGGCTCTTGTCTTGGCGTGCAGTTTGTATTGAAGTTGGGGGCTAAGAGCGGGTGTCGGCACGAGGGAATGTGATCCTCCACCATCGTCGCACAGGGGCTCCAGAGGGAGGCATACTTGTACACCAAACGCAGTGCCAAACCCTTGTGAACCTATTCAAAGGCCAGCCCACAGATTAGTCAATGAGACATCATGGCGCAAATTCGAAGAGGGTCGTCCAACGCGTACACTTTTCGCGGCAAGTGCTGGTGTCTTATTTCCACCTCAGCCTTACAGGGCTGACTTCAGGCCTCCCACCACACCGGTAAAGGGTCCAGGCGAGGTTAGATCTCGTATAACCGACATACAACTCATCTCTTCGCGACCACTACTACGCCACGCACAACTCCGGTCCGCCCCCACCAGCCGAACATGGTTTTCGCAACACCAAAGCGACCTAAGCCTAAACCAAACGTCTTGAGCCTGTCGTCTTGCTCTTTCAGGAATGCCGCTAGTGGCGCGAACACATGTTCTGAGATGTCGGTGATGGTGATGGCTTCAGGGTCGTATCCTATCTGCTCCAGCCTCTCGCGGTACCCCTGTGGTGTGGTGAAGTTCGCCCAGGGCGCACCCATGAGGGCAGTGAGAAGGCGAAGCGTCATCCTCTGGGCCCATGTAGCGGTAGGAGAGAGACACAGATCAAAGGCCATCCAGTTTGCTTCTAGCTCCGAGTGAGCGTACTCAATGATGGGCCAGCGTGAGGGGGCGAAGTGATATGCTGTGTCTAGTGCCAACACCCAACGCTCTTCTGCGTCGTCCTTCGCAAGCTGCAACTTTGTTTGCAGCTGTTTGTCCCAGGACTTGGGTTTCGACGCGTCGGCACAGAAGAGAGATATCGTGGGGGTTCCACCATCTTCCATCTCAGGAGATGCCGCCTTCGTTGTATCCTTCTTGAGCTCGTCAACTCGCTCCGAGGCGTATCGAGCCTGCACTGCATCTTTCGTGATGCCAATGTAATGCTGGTATGTGGCGCAGCGATCTCTTTCATCCCACCAGTCTTTGTCGCACGCTCGAATCGGTTCCTTGCTCATGAGATAGATGGTTTGGTCCCCACATCCGAAGCCCAGATCCACCAAGGCTCTTCTCCGTGCTGCTGGGCCTTTGTCACTTGAAAGGCCAGCCTCAGCAAGGATTACGTTCAGCATGTCTCGACAGGCCTCGCTTAATGTCGTTGAAGTGGTGGCGTTCTTCCAATACCCCATGTTCATCCACATGGCTGTGGGAAGCTGCAGATGTAGCCGCCCATGTTGCAGCCCGTAAACTGAAGCCTTGTCTTCTTGAGCCCCCCGCGCTCTCATCATCAGCCAAAACAGTAAGGTCGCCAGCCCTGCGCCGAGTATCTGCGTAGCGGACATTTGTTTGGCGTGTTGTAGTGATTGGTGCGACGCAGAATCGGGTGTTTGTGGGATTTCGCGGGAAGCTTCAACGACGCAATGACGCTAGCCGTTTCCGGTGAGAATGTATGACGAGACGCCATATGATACGCACAACAGGAAGTCGCATCCTAGACCCCTCAATCCCGAATACTTTCACTTTCGTTCAAACACTTTGAATCGCGTACATCACTTCCTGAGTCCTAGGATGCTATGGGCATGTTGTCTTGCCCGGGTATCTACTCTATTGGATTACCTGCAAGGCTACGAACGGACTAAAGGCAGGAGGATGCTCCATGCGTCACAGTCCGAGTCCGAATACGCCTGTCTCCATGAATTACTGATACCTCCAGGGCACCGCGACGTCGAACGCATCAGCCACTCGCATGGCCGAGACAACGCAGCCTTCCAGGAGTACCATACCGTCCCAACACCAGCCGCCCACGAGCCACACATTGTCCTCGCCATTCCTCCACTGTGGCACTGACTTGTCATCTGTATCGAAGTTCGAGCGCTTATCAAATATGGCGTTGACGATGCGCTGGCTCTCCGGGCTGCGAAGAACGCGCGTGAACCGGCTCCGCTGAGCAACGCATTTCTCATCGAGAGGAGTGCATGGGCAAGTGGTTACTACGACGCCACATGGTTGGACATGATGTGATTCGGTCGTGTGCGTACCGGAGGTTGCTGTATTGAGGTGGATGAGCTGCGCGCCTTTCTTATCGACGTGCCTGGCGTCGCTACCGTGGAGGACTGCCCAATCCGTGTGCACCACACTTTCCACGACTGCAGTCGGTATGCGCTGCATGTGGTGCTGCAGAGGTCTGAAGATACGGCCGACGACATCTGGGGCGACTGCAAGAATAACTTTGTCGAAGAATTCCGTTTTCTCAGCGTCTGACCCGCCCTGAGACCAGGTTATCCGAACGCCCTTTTCGGAGGGCTCTACGGCCGTGACGGTAGCCTCGAGAGTAACGTCGATACCCTTGACCAGGCCGTCTTGCACCCCTCCCACGCCATCTGATACAGTATAGTGCGGTGCGCCGTGGCTCCTCCGCTTGTATTCGATGATGTCGCTGGCAGGAAAGGCGAGTAGCGACTCGTGGGGACAGGTGGATACGCTCGACAAGAGAGGGAGTAAGTAGTAGGTGACGAAGTAGGTCGGACAGTATGTGCGGTCCAGATACTGCTGCATAGTCTCGCCTTGTCTAGGCTCGAAGAAGAAACAGCAGAGCGCGAACCACGAGTAGGCCAGTATCAGGTATAGCCATTGCATCAGGTACGAGGTCCTGCTAACTCTGCTCGGTCGGGCCGCCATCTGGTGGAGATTCGACGCATGTGTAAAGTAGGACGTGTCGCGGCGGCCAGTCGCTAAGGCCTCGGGGCTCGCATCGCGGCATTTTGCGAATTCGAAGAGGAAGGGCTGGGAGTTGTATTCGATGCGCAGGTAGTCGTACAGGGCCTTGAGGTTGTTGTAGTAGCCGCCCGCAAACGCGCGCATGGGCAGGTCCACGCGGGTGGAGGCGTCGGTGGCTGCATCGGGGATGGAGATGGAGGCGGCGTCTAGGGAAAGCGTTCTGCCCTAAAGTTACTTTTGTGAGTACAGTCGCGGATAGAGTGGGTGTTAGGCGGCCTACCGACTCGAAGACCCTGACGGCATATCGCTGGCGGACATCGTGGAACAACAGGTTCGCGCTAACCAGTCCCGCCAGGCCAGAGCCTATTATTGCGACCTTCTCGCGTGGCTGCTCCATGCTGAGGTAGTCGTGGACGTCAGCGGTGTGGAGCTATGGTGTTGATATTTAGGGCATGACGTGCAAATCGTCGCATGTCCTCGGCTGCTGGCCCGCAGCAGTCTCAGAACAGGCATCGTCCGTCTCTACCCAATTTGATAGCAGACATCAATTGGCGACGGCATCGTCGCCGGGGCTAGGCTCAAATGGAGCAAAGTGCATGGAGCAACATGTGCCCGTCGGAGTCGCGCGTCCTGTCTTGATGTCATCCTTTAGATTGAGCGTCTTGATTGGTTGAGGGAATATCACCGACGCGTCCCTTGCATGCGACGTCCAGCAGTGGCCACACGAGATGTAACTCTAGACTCTAGAACATCACTTTCCTGTAGACGTTGTAGATATCGTTTCTTTGATTGATCGTGGAAATGGCAGGCACCGACAAGCTTCCTGCGATGCGAGTCGCCGTCATTGGGGCTGGGTACGCCACCCTCTCAACAAAAATCATCACATGCTAACACGGCGGAAGTCCCGGCGGACTGACGACTCTTAAGACACTGCTTGAGGCATCGACACCTGATCGGCCGATAGAGGCTGTTTTGTTCGAGGCGTAGGCATACTCCACTCAGCCCCGAGCGGGTTTACCATCACATGACCTAACACCCTCCAGCGAAGACAATATCGGAGGCACATTCCACTACCGTGCTTATGAGAACGCCGAGCTGGTATCTTCAAAGCAATTGACTACCTTCTCCGACCACCGCTTCCCCGTGTCAGCACCAGACCACATTTCGCTTCCACAATATGTCGGCTATTTGCAGGACTACGTGGACAAGTTCGACCTACAGCCGCTCATGAAGATGGGCTGCAGAGTCAACAAGATCGAGCCTATATCGAAGTCGACTGATCGGAAGTGGAAGCACCGTGTCAGATACGTCGACAAGAATAGCGATGGGGAGGAGCGCACTTTCGACTGTTCACACGTCGCTGTCTGTACTGGACTGCACGTCGAGCCCAACATTCCCAATATCCCTGGCATCGAGAGTGTCAAAGGAGAAGCTTTCCACTCTTCGCAGTACAAGAAGCGAGCACAGCTGACAGGCAAAGATGTGCTCATCATGGGCTGTGGAGAGACTGCCATGGGTACACTATACGAGGACATGGAGACGGATACACGCTAACGTTTGTAGATATCGCTTACGAAGCCATGAAGGGTGATGCAAATTCAGTCACCATGTGCTTCAGAACGGGCTTCCTCTCTTTCCCCAAAGCGCTTTCGCGTTTCAAGGTGTTCGGCAAGCAGTTCAAAGGAGGTCTACCTATCGACGGTCTCATCACCAACCTCTTCGAGACAGCCTACGTGCATCGCGCGATAGCTGCGAGTCGATTCCGTTGGTTTGTATCGGACTTTGTCATCAAGCGTGTGTTGTGGTTCTTGACTGGCACACAGGCGGGCATGAAGTGAGCTTCCGGCTAATCTTTACGAAAGAGCACATACTGACCCGATACAGTCAACACGTCGGCGCACTCCCACATGACCGTTTAGGCAGAGCTTTCGTCTTCCTAAACAAGAGCAGCAAAGCGATGCCATATCTAAACCGGCCCTACAAAGAGAGCCACCCTCTCGCCTTCCTCGGCAACGGCTACGTAGACCCACCCGAAGACGCACAGTCGAAGAAATGGGTAGACACATGCACATTCCCGGAGCGCATAGACGAAACCGGCAGAGTG